TTATTATTATTATTATTATTATTATTATTATTATTATTATTATTATTTTGGAGATAGGATCCTACTATGTAGCCCTCCCTAGCTTAGATCTTGCTGTGTAGATTAGGCTGGTTTTAAGCTCACAAAGATTCTCCTGCCTTTTGCTTCTGGTACTAGGATTAAAGGTGTTTGTTACTGTGCCCACTTATGTCATTATCATCATTACTATTTTTATTTACCTTTTTGAGATAGGGTTTCTCTACATATTCCTGGCTGTCCTGGAGATCACTGTGCGGACCAGGCTGGTCTTGACTCTTAGAGATCTACTTGCCTGTACCTCCCAAGTCCTGGGAATCAAGGTATACACAACCACACCTAGGCTATTAATATTATTTTTGAGACAGGGTCTCAAAGCCAGATTTGGCCTTGAACTCGTGACCCTTCTGCCTCTATCTTCTAAAAAGAAGAGATTATAGGTGAACCACCATAAGCCATATCCTGTGCTGTTTTGAGGAAGGCTCTTTAAATTTTTTTTTTAACTTATTCTTATTTTTGTTTTATGTGTATGTGTGGGTGGGTACCCACAGAGGTCAGAAGAGGATTCTCTGGAACTGGAGTCACAGGCAGTTGCTGCTTGATGTGGGTTCTAGAAACTGAACTCAGGTCCTCTGCAAGAGGCAGGAGAATTAGGAGTTTGAAGCTAGCCTGAGCTCCATGGCAAGATCTTGCCAAAAAAGAAAGCAACAAACAAAAATCCAAGGAGTCCACTAGCTGGTGAGTGTACAGTGCCTGGACAGCACTGAAGAGTCTGCCCTTAGAGAGGCATGGTCCTACGCTGCCTCAGGCTTCCTTTCCGTGCCCCTCTGTTTGCTGGCTTGGCCAGGCCTCTGAGAAAGCCTGATCAGAACATGTTCTGGCCTCACCTCCACAAGGTACACTACTGTACAGCATGGAGAAGAGGGAAGAGAAGATATAGGGGGCCAAAAAATGGATTAAAATTTGCCCCATTCTGGGCATTTTTAGGTAACAATAGATTCCATCATTGAGGTACTTCACAGTGGATCCTTCTTGAATTAAGTGATCCAGCCTTGGGGGAAAGATATCTCAATCGTTAAGAACACTTGCTTTCTTGCAGAGAACCTGGGCCAGCTTTAATTCTCAGCACCGTATGGTGGCTCACCACCATCTGTAGCCCCAGCTTCACGGGATCCGACACCATCTTCTGCCCTTGGGCCCCAGGCGTGCAGGTGATGCACAGACATGCAGGCAGAACAGTTATAAAATACTGAAGAAACAGTGCAGCCTGAGCTCACAGTCAGCTTTATCAAACCTTCCTCCAGTCCTTTGTCTCTCCATTCCCAGCCTGGCTCTGGCCTCAGCCTCCTCTGCTGCTTACTCTGCTGGCTGTCCTTTCAGTTGTTGGTGAGAGCCATCTACAGGTTGCCATTCTCCATGCATAATCTGGAGTCTTAAAGTTAATAACTTACACTCTCCTTTGGCCTTTGCTTTTTTCACCCTCAAAGCTGAATTACTATAGCAGTTCAGATCCTTAAAACCTTTGGACATAGTTTCTCCCCCCTATTTCTAGGTTTTAATTTCTGAGTGCTTTTCTGGTGTTTTACAGATTAGACCTCAATTCTATCCATTGCCTCCCTGTAATATTTTATCCTAAAACTGACAAAATCCTGATTTCCACATCTCATTCAAATATCAGGCCATCTAAAGTGCAGCAGGATGCACACGTGTCTAGAGGAGGGAGCTGCGGAGCACATCAGTGACTCAAAGGTTGGCGCTGTCTCGGTGGCCTTTGCTTCCTGAATCATCTTAATGGGGCTTTTGTTAAATTCCTTTGGCAGTAACAGTGGAAGTACTTGGCCTAAATGCCCCCTCCTCCTGCTTTGGGTAAAGGTATCAATTACATTAAGCCCCCAAAGCACTCCCATCTCCTTCCTGGCAGTCCCTTGTGCCCCTCTCCCAGCTGCGTCCTTGGTGGTGCTTA